AACAGCAATACATTCGACGATCGCTCAGAGAAAATGGCGTCCCGCACAACTTCATCAACCAATGCGTGCGCAAAGAAGACAAACGACCAAATCTCACCGAACCCACATTTTGGCGAGCTATTGCGTATGTTTAAAGGGTCTCGGAAGCCATTGGCCGCCGTGTCGCACCATTGGGAGTTGGAGTAGCAAACAAGCGAATAAAGGTATTGTCCCAACGATTACGTCTACCACTTATCAGTCACATAATCTGCTAGATTGCGATTGAATTTGTCCCAATTACTTTTATCTATGTTTATATATATGCACGACTTCCTGACAATATTGGATGTTGAAGCGGTAGTTGACATACGCCGTCAGTGTGTCTGTAGAAAGACCTTCACTGGGAACGTTCCTGTAAGTTAATAGGACACAACGACCAAACTTGCTCAGAGAAACAGCAAATTGTTGGACTCGGCGGCTTACAAAAACTTGTTGGCTTGCAGCGGGGGAACTGAAGGGCGAATACTTGGTCTTCAGAATGCTACTGACTTAGATTATAAGACTGTAGTGACCTCGTAGTCTAAGCCATGCTCCTCTCGCACGCCTCTAGGGCAGGCCTCGTGTCCACTAAGCACGTGCGCACCAGGGCGTGTCAAAGGCAGGTTAAGGTCATGGACTTGTGTTCCCAATCTGTCTGTCCTTACTGGCCAATCACCTTCCACGGCCAGTTTACAAAGGAACTTAGTGTGGTGACTGCTTACGCTCAGCCACTCCCGGGCCGGGCGACCTCACTGCTGAATTCCGACGCTGAACCCGGCCCGCTCATGACTGAACTGCCCTTGTTCTGGAGTCAATTACCCATTACTCATACTCCACTCTTTCAGCACTTCGTTAAATCATTCATAACACTCTGGCCTTCCACACCTTATCTTATTTACTAATGTATAACCGTTGAGATACATCTATCGTCTATTACTCGGCCGGACTACTTCGTATCTCACAATTTGACCCCGACGTTCGCTCTATCCTACAAGAACTACCACAACTCATGCAACAGAACTTTCAGCGGCTGATTCTGGCAGGAACCGGCTTCAGAAAAAAAGACAACAGGACAAGGCAGGCCCCCAGGAGAAGGCCCTTTGAAGAGGATATTTTGTATAACGAATTTTTGGTGGATAGCAAACAACGCTGAACTACTCTTTCATTCAATGCCCTCTGTCTTAAAGCCATGCATCTTCGCAGGCAGCTATTCTCCGACTCACCGACCTGAAGACCCTTGACCGACTCCTACTCGCATACATGCGCGTCCAAATAGTCGTGGGTGTCAAGTGACCGGTTGAACATGCAACCCCTCGGCATGGGCCTCCATACGCGACACCCCTTCGGGCAATGCTACAATGACTAGCTCCACACGAAGTGCATTTGTGAACGTTTGTCTTGACTAGCTCAAGTCGAAGTGCACTTTAGGAATGATTGCTGTTTCCGACAGCTTTGACAGCCAATCACAGACCGACTCACACAGGATCTCATGTGACGACTGCCGAGAAGACCTCACTTAAGACGCCGTCCTCTGGCTTGCGATTGTGCGGTCGTCTGGTAGCTTTATACTACCTATTCTCCTATTCATTCTGTACAGAATATACTCTTCATACCACTATGGCCTTGTGGCAGCCTGAATTCGGTAATGCTGCGCA